ACTGTTACCACAAGAACAAGCAAGTTGCTTGCCCAGGAGACATCAAGGCAAGTGGTCGGGTCCTCTCAGTGCAAATCCTCTTCCAAGACCAAGACACAATGGAAATGCACGCTCTGATTGATGACCACACACATCACCCATAAGGGGAAGTGACCGAAGAACATCAATGAAGCGGTGAGCTAAGCCCTACATCGTTCAGCAGACTACTGTGAACCCAGGTGGAGACCTGGTCACCCAGCAGCAAGGCATGACCTGGGGACTCATGGGCTCAGAGTCAGTGACACAGCCACAGAGGGCTAGAGTGGAGAGTAAAGTGGCCAGCTGATAAGAAGAGGGCAGACAGACACAAGAACACCCACACTTGCAGATGATATCCACTTGACCTGGCTTCAATGACTGTATGAACGGAGCTCAACTAGAAGAAGAAAGAAGAGGGAAAAAGTGTCATCTGATACAATTTGATAAAATTGACCTACACCTATAAATGCAATAGCTCAAAAGAGGAAACAAATCCCTGCTGCAAGAATTATTCCCACCCCCTCCACACAAAGAGTAGATAGGGATGGACAACTTGGATATTGGCTACCTAAAATGGGGGGAGGGATACAAAGGTAAGAAGCGACTGGCTTACAAGCTTTTAAGAGGGAACCTAGATCCAAAGGGCGTGGAAGAAGGTAGAGTCTCCAGTGAAAAATACCCAGCCTGTCCAGGAAGGGCTGATGAAATGAAATGTAGATCGATCTCTTGTGATGCAATAGTGAATAATTGTTATCAGGATTGATTGTGAGGGCTGGAAATGTAAAGGTGGACATTTTATAGCCAGGAGGGGAGTGATTAACTTTTCAGTCTAGGAGCGGAGGGCCCTGGGACCATCAATGGAGAAGAGCAAAGAGAGGGACCTTACCCAAAGAAGCAGTGAGACCTGAGATGGAGGAAGAGAAGATGATGTGGAGAGATGGAGTGGCTGGGGACTTGAGATCCAGAGAGGGAAAGGGACTGTGTGCTGAGGACCACTGGGGGGGAGGGGGGGCAGGGTTGCAGGGTATACCCTTTGGTTGGGTGATGATGCATGGACATGGACAGGATGGTAACTATGGCAATGAAAGGATGTATGATAGAATTAATGTAAACTAATGTTCTCCCATGTGAACTATCACACAATTCACCATAAAACATTTATTAAAAAAAAAAAAAAAGAACCAACTCAAGGACACCCAGCCACCACCACCACCACACTCACTATGAGCTCACTCATTTTCAAGACTAGCATCCCCTCTGTATACTGATGACCCTCAAACATATGTCTCCAGTTTGAACTTCTTTCAGCTTCAACCTTCCTTATCTAATTTCCTACTTGACAGTTCTATTTGAATAACAAATGCCCATTTCAAGCTTGTTGGTGCTGTTGTTAAGTGCTAATGAGTCAGTTCGGACCCATACCTACTCTATCATTATGAGTAGGAACCAACTCAACAACACCTAACAACAGTAACAACAACAGCAGCTACATTTTATTTATTTCTTATTTTATTTGAACTTGCATGCTATAAAATTCAACCTTTGAAAGTAGACAATTCAGTGTTTTCAGTATATCTACAAGGTTGTACAACCATCATCACTATATATTTCCAGAATACTTTTGTTACCCCAAAAAGACTGGACTTACTGGTCAGAAAAGGACTGGAGGAACCTAAGACCATGGTCCTTGATCACCCTTCAGGTTTGGAAGAAAACTCACCCTCATGGCCCAATTTTCAGCCAAGCAATAGTAGATATATAAGGGGAAGAGCAATACTAGTAAGTAAAACACTCACTTTGGAATGGTAAATCATTCAAGATCAAAAGGGCAACATTTACCTGAAGGCATGGGAAGCAGGGAGAAATGGAAACAGGACCCACAAAAAGGAAGTGAAATAACTGTTGTTATGTGGAGAGAATTGCAATCATTGATACCAAAACAATGTGTATGATTTGTTGAATGTAAAATAGATGATCTTGTCAGTAAACCTCCACTCAATTCACAACAAAAAGTAAAATAATAATAATAGTAGAATTCTTGTACCCATTGGCAGTCACTCCTCACTTTTTGTTAAGTGCTGTTGAGTCAGTTCTGATCCATAGTGACCCTGTATAGAGTTTCCAAGGAGCGGCTGGTGTGTTTCAAATGGTAACCCTGTAGTTAGCAGCCCAGTGCGTATCCTGCTCGAGTGCCTGGTAATCACTAATCTTCTGTCTCTATAAATTTATCCATTCTGGTCAAGTTACATAAATTGAATTGTAAACTGTGTGACCCTTTGTATCTCTGTGGGGTTTTTTGTTCTTGTTGTTTTTTTCACTTAGCATGTATTCAAGATTCATCCCATGCTGTAGGATGTATCAAAACTTAATTTCTTTTTATAACCAATTAGTATTCCAGTGTGGAGTCCTAGTGTGGCTGGTATGGCACTACTGGATAATGTGCAAAGTTGGCAAGTCACACTTACCAGTTGTTCCTCAAAAACCTTATACAGGGTCACTATGAGTCATAACTAACTTGACGGCACTTAACAACAATATTCCAGTGTAGGCTTATATTGCTTATACCACATTTGTTAATTCATCAGTTGATGGGTATTTGAGTAATTTTTATTTTTTGTCTATAATTAATACTGGCGTTATGAACATTTATGTACAAGCTTTTACATGAACTTAAGTTTTAAACTGTATTGAATATATACCTAAGACTTGAATTGTTGAATTCTTATGTTTAATTTTTTAAGGACCCACCAAAAACTAGTCCACAGATGGTGCACTAGTTCAAACTCGCCAGAAAATCTATTCAATGTTGCTATGCACTTAACAACTGCAACAACCAGTAAGGTTTAAGGGTGCCAGTTTCTCCACATCTTCCTCAATACTTGTTATAGTTTTTGTAATCTAGGCCTCCTCCTGGGTCAGGTGACATCTTATTACGATTTTGATTTGCATTCCCCTATTGGCTAAGGACATTTGAGCATCTTTTCACGTGCTTATTTCCCATTTGCGTATCTTCTTTGGAGAAATGTCTATCCACTTCCTTTGCTCATTTTTAAATTGGGTTATATAAACTTTTATTACAAATTTTAAGAGTTCTCCTATTATTTATTTTACTAATTTTCTTTTATGATAACCATTTTTTTCATATACTCCTACTAGAATGTGAAATTTTTCTCCAGAAACTTTGCCTCTTTTGTTCATTGCTTAATCTCTAGCACCCAGAATATTGCCTGTTGTTGATAAGTGCCATCCAGTTGGTTCTGACTCATAGCGACCCTGTGTAGGGTTTCCAAGGAGCAGCTGGTAGGTTTGAACTGCCAACCTTGTGGTTCAGCGTCCATTGCTGATCTTACAGTGCCACACCACAAGTCCCGAATAGTGCCTAATAAATAAACATTTATTAAAATAATTGATTGGCTAGTTTGTATATATTTTTCTGTGACATGCCTTGATTCATGCATTATTGCCATATTTGAATTTCTTAATCATCTGTTTTTTTGTAAAATATTAAGAATCTATTTTCTTTATTCGTTGTACTTGCTTACCTTTTACTTCTTCTTTGCCAATTTGGTTGTCTTTAATTTCCCTTTCTTTCCTTATAGCTCTGGCTAATACTATTCCAAAATGGAATAGATGTGGTGATAAAGAACACCCTTGTCTGGTTCCTGCTTTCAATGGGTCCTTACCTTTTAATATAACTGTGTATTTCTTACAAACTGAAATTTAAATGCTTAAAGTACCAAAACTCTCCATTTCTGTGATTTGTTTGTTTCTTGGTGTGGTTCTTCGAAAATTGGCAAAGCTATAAAACCTAATGTAGAGCATTAATCCATTCTCCTTTGGCTCGCATTCTCGTGTCTCCTGCAGGCATCAACAGGAAGGTAGTGTACTCCCTGGCAGACTCAGCCGGTGGGTTCTTCTCCATTGATGGTTCATCTGGCATCATTATCCTGGAGCAGTCACTGGACCGGGAGCAGCAGTCTTCCTACAACATCAGTGTGCGAGCCACTGACCAGAGCCCCGGGCAAGCCCTGTCCTCTCTGGCCACCATCACCATCACCGTCTTGGACATTAACGACAACCCCCCTGTGTTTGAGAGAAGAGACTACTTGGTAACAGTGCCTGAAGACACCTCCCCCGGCACTCAAGTCCTATCTGTGTTTGCCACCAGCAAGGATATTGGCACAAATGCTGAGATCACGTATTTCATCCGGTCTGGGAATGAACAAGCGAAATTTAGAATCAACCCAAAGACAGGTGAGCAAACAGCAACCAATTTAGGATGCAAGGCCTCATTGTGTCAGCTTTACTTTCTCTTCCTAATGCTCTAACTGCCTTTTGGGGCAGGCTTTTCTTTCTTCTCCCATCTCCCTCACTGTAGAAGCATGAGTTCTCTTAGCAGGGTCCTCTAGCATTCTGCATGTTATGTTCAATTCCTAACTCCAGACTGTTGGTGGTAAAAACAGTTATCACTCTCAGCTGCTAACTAAAAGGTTAGAGGTTCAGGTTCACCCGGAAGTGCCTTGGAAGAAAGACTTAGTGATCTGCTTCCCCAAAATCAGTCATTGAAAATTCTGGGGAGTACCATTCCAGTCTAACACATATGACGTCTCCATTAGTAGTAATGGAGGGCTGGAGGAACTGTGGGCTTACTTGGCAAATACATGATCCCAAAGGTGATTGTAGGATTTCTCTACAGGAAGGTTTGCCAGCAGCAATGGTGTTCATAAGTGGGGACACAGAAGCTGTCATGAAGTAGTTTTGACATACCATGTATAAGGGTCGGTTTGTTTTTATCTCTTCTGTGTTTTGTTTGTATGTTTTTCACTTGGATCATCTGCTTGTATGTTTGGGGTGCCTCCTGGAGATTAGGTTCCCCTTGCCCCTTCCACACTTATTAGGCAACACTCTCAGGTTCCCTGCCACCTATGAGTGATCTAGATGGTGACTTTCAGGTCTTCTAAGTCTAGAACCTCAACTAGAACTATCAGTCTGTGAGAACATGTGCTGTATTTGAACACTGTTCTCTTGTCTTCGTCATTTCTCACCACATCCTTTTCAAACTCTGGGGAGATGTGTGCATAACCCAGGGAAAGGGTACTTAGAATCCAAGAGAGCCTTTGTTATTTTTCTTTATCAATGGGATGGGTCATAACAAGTAGGGTGCTTTGAATAAAGATGGGAATTCAGAAAACAAGTGTGGGTGTTTCTAGAAGAGTAAGCATACTCTTTATAGAGTGTTTGTATTCATATTTTTAAGCACTTTCACAGATTCCCATTTTGTTAACCTCCTTCCCTATGACTAAGCAAGGCAGTTCACGTTTTGCAGATAAAAAATGTGAGTTTCACACCTAACCTCTTAGCGCGCAAGAGGTAGGCACTTACTGAGCAAGATAGTAAAGGAATTCCTTTCTAGCTCACTAAACAGAAACAAGAAACTATAGTAATTAACAACATTTATTTTATATGGCAAAACAT